CAGAAATAGTTTTCTCCACAAGATCACATTGGTTACTGGAGGTGAGCATCCACCAAGCAGGCTTGCCCTGGTGTAAACAAGATCACCAGCCTCCCTGGCCATTAGCTGGTCTGCTGACATGGAACTGCCTTGCAATGAAAGGTGAAGCAGCTGCAATCCTCTTATGCCAGAGGGCCTCCTTTTGCATGTTCTGGCTCAGGAGAACCCATTTCTGGCTCACTCCTGGTTCTAGAAGTGCAGGTGAGCTTCTGTGCACATGCAGGAGCTAGCTGTCCCTGCTCTGACAGCAAAGCTGTGCATACAGGTTCTGTACCAGGAGCCTGACAGCATGCACGGGATGCCCTGCTGAAAGCTACCAGGTAGTCTGGGAGACTCCATCCAGCTTCTGGCTGCTCAGCCTTGCACAGCTTGGTACTGCTGCAGGAAACTGCGCCAGAACCCACTAGGGGTCTGCCCTGCTCTGCAGAGCACCTGCCTGGAGGCAGACAAGAGGGTCTCCATAGGGATGGAGCATCCTACAGGACTGTACCATCACCTCTGACCTGGGGACACTGCTGCTGAAGAAGTGCAGGGGACAGCCACATTGTTTCAATTTCAAGTAACAAGGGTAGTTATCTTTAATTCAAATTAGATGCCTTACACTATTAAAAGCTACAAGACTGAGAAGAACAAAGTAGCTGTGATTTTGGAAAAAAAACAGAAACATGTAAGAACAGGATAATTGAAATGAAACAGTTTCTAAACTTTGTGCACGTCTTCCACAGTCAAAAAAGTATAAAGTGTCCCTAAAGGCCACCAACTGAAAGATATAAACCCAACATTATTAAGTATATAACTTCCTAATTTCTAAATTATTAAAGTAATTGAAATTACTGTCCTTGAGTAATACAGTGCCAAACTCACAACTTAGGTATTTGCTCGGAACTTATCCATAAACTCAGGCTTGTTGAAGTACTGTGAATGCACAGACAAATTTGTCATTTTGCTAAGCAGCAGTGCATGCTGATTCTCACTGTCTTTGTAACACTGAAGCAAACCTATGATTTCGTTCTTATTTTGTTTAGCAGAGAAGAGGATTAGTTAAGAGTGACAAAGCCTTTTCAGTGCTGAAAGAGATGACTAGAGCTACACCAGTTGCCCCAGCCAACAAGATCTGCCCCAAAGTGCTCCTTGACATTGCACTCATAATTCAGTTATACAGCACCCACTCCAGCGTGGATCAGAATGATCTGAGTCAAGCCTGCATTTAAAAGCATGTATTTGCTGAAATGTTTTGGCTTTAGGGGATTAATTTATGACCTTACTCTAAGGAATAATTTTATTTCCTCTATGTTAAAAAAAAATTAACTTTAAGAGAAATTCACTCTAAGCAATATTGAAATATCCATAATCATTATGAATTCTGTAAATTTTTACTGTTTCCATCATAGTCCAAATTTCTGCTGATGCCACTCCCATATTATTTTAGTAATTTCAGCATTTTTATGATCGTTGAACTTGTTTCTATGCAAGTAATGAACGTGCACCGTAACACATGTTTTGGCTATTAAGCTTCAACACTAGAGAATACGAATTTAGAAAAATTTAACCCAGTGTCTGTACTGAATTTTAGGTTTTTATTTATGCTTTTTAGGAGTTTTTGAATTTTGACTTCAGGAAGACTTTAGAAAGAGAAAATGTAACATCCCCGCATAAATGCAGCATACTATATATAATAAAACAACGTACCACAGTACCCTGGTGTTCCACAAACTGTCTTCATGGTCACCTGATCTTCAACAATCTTGGAAAGTCCAAAGTCAGCTGTTAAGATTGTTTAGGAATGTTAATGTTCTTGCTCCTTGTAAATATATTTTTTTTTTACATTGTATATGTAATTAAATGAACAGTACTGTCATTTCCATAGATGATGATCAATTGAAAGAATGTACCCAGACTGCAATCCAGAAGCAAAATTTATCAGTACAAATGGGTATTCCCAGCTCTTGCTTGTGCTTGTAAGAAATGTTGCTTGTATTTTATCCTGAAGACTGCACACAGCCAATACAATGGGATGCCTAAGGACGTACAAGCAGTAATCCAGAAATGCATTTTAGTATATATTCAGCTTCCACTCTGAGAGCAATCCGATATAATTAACAGAACAATTCTGGGCTAAAAAATTGTGCATCAGTGATTTCTTGGATAAGGGTCAGAGTACTCAGTCCCCGCAAGACAAAATCCCAGCAGTACTTCGACAAAGGCTTTCCAGGGCCATGGGGGTTGTGCCAGAAGAAGTACTGACCATCTTTTTTGCAGTGTTTCCACCCTGAATTACTACTCAGACAGCAAGTGCCTTCATGATGTTACACATCGTACTTGCATGACTCATTTTTTAAAGACTAAAAACGGAAGTGTTCACAACTCTTTTAGTTTTCACTGAGCATAAACTGAACTTCTTCAAATTTCAATTTGAGTGATGAAAAACTGGCCTTAAAAATTGAAAAATAAAAGTATTTTTGTTTTGTTACAGTGCACATAAAAGGGAATGTCTTGACTCAAGATAAGGATAAAAGTAGATCATATTTTATTCTAGATATGCATAGTTAGGGTTCATTTGTCCCTAAATGGTTATCATTTATGCATCATTATTTACCTAAACAGAAATACACGTTTATAAACTCTGCCACTCTCTGTAAATCAGATCTCAGTTTAAACAAGTCAATAATTTTAACGAGAACATGAAGAATCACAGCATTTAGGAAAATGCTTCAGAAACCCCTACATCACTCTGGCCGTAAAACTGAGGCCACTGGGTGCTGCATTAAACTATCACATTACAGCTCTTTTGAGGAAAGAGAAGAGCAGAGAAAAGGAGAGGAGAGAAATGTTAAGATACCATCATACTGAGATGCAAGATTGCTTGAGACTAGTTTGTGGAAATCTGAAACCCATGATGAACACTGGACTGACGAACATGGCAACACTCACTCCTTACATGCACCCCAGCAAGAGAGGTCAAAGCGGTATTTCCAAACTGGTTACATACCGCTGAGGAGCATTGCACAGAGCTCCTCCTTCCTCAAGCAAAAACTGGGCATACCCAGCATTTCTGGAGGTCATGCCCTTTGCAAGCGGCCACCATCCACACCAGACCTGGCATAGTACATCCCCATCCAGGAGAGCCTGGTCTCACCTTGTTCCCCCTCATGCCCCCCGTGGTGCTGACTGTGCTTCAGATAGCTTCTCTTTGCGAAGATCACTTCTTATCCCTCAAATCTGCCTTCAAAACAGAAGTCAGCCTTGCTCAGTTTGCTTTCTACCACTTATCTGCACACTTGTACTTTCACACCAATGAATCTTTCCTCTTAAAATACTAGTTTGACAAAAAAAAAGGAGCAGCACAAAAGTGGTGCATGCAGCTGTACACTGATCTCATGATCCTTCTTGTTCCTCCTGAGTGCTTTATTCTCTGCCACGTTCCGCACAATTTTGGCTATAAATCCTCTAAGCAAGCATCTAGGTTTGTACTGGTTTTAAAAACACCATGTGTGCTGCTGAAGAAGTAACATGCTGTTCATCTGAGTATAAGCGTTACCCTAGAATAAAGTGGTTGTGAGACATATATACTGTAAACACCAGTTAGCACATATTACTGATGCAAAGGAATTAGGGAAGCATAATGCTGCTCACCAATTTTTAGTGGTGCATCTGGTGCTGGCGTTGCATAGAGTAGATTTTCTGGCTTCAAGTCACGATGCACAATCCCATTTGCATGCAGGTACTAGAAAAAGAGAAAGACAAAATATTTAAGTGAGAATAAGATGTTATGGTTAAGCATGAGTTGATATCTTTCTAATAGTCTATAGCAGAAGATCAATAATCTGCTACATGTGTGACACAAGAGTCACTTTTCGGCAGCTTTTTTTCTGCAAAGCTGCTCAGCACAGGATCCTTGGATGCATATTGTAATCTGAACAGGAAACTAAAATTTGGAAGGTAAAGAGAGCATCAGTTCCATTAAAGAAGAAAAACACCTAAAAAAGTATTTCTGACTTTTTAAATACAGTGGGAGCTTCTAGGAAGTAATCTAATATATGCTGAGGTACCAAACTCTGTCTCAGAGGAAGTCTTATGGTTTTTGCATATTGTAACAGTCTGAAAGATAAGAAAACGGTCATACAACCATTAAACTATTAAACAGACACCTTTGAGTATAAAGGATCCAGTATGTGTCCTGGGCCAACTCTAAAATCTTTGAGGTCCCTGGAACAGATTTCTCAAGGATTTTGAAACCACCCCGTTGCAGAGTCTTGAAAATCCATCTGTCTTGCTGAGGCAGATGCAGTACATGTGAATTCACTCACCACTGAATTACTTTAAAGATTATGTTCCTGCCTTGCAGTAATGGAAAGAAGAATTTGTGGAATATATGGCTGCCTCTTACACTGCTCTAGACGGCCATTAAAAATATATATAAAATACTGATAGACAAAAAAGGACAAACTAGTGAAACAAATTCAGTATTTCTTGTTGATGAAATATTCAGTAGAAATCACCGCAGCCTTGGAAGAAAGATGCTTAAAGGAAGAATCATGTTATCTTATTTGAAGTCTCCCGGTCTAGATTTTATTAGCATCTCACTCAGCTGTGTTTTCACTATTAAAAAAACCCAGTGTATGGGCAGCAAATCACAAATGGTTGAATATTCATCTAGAAAGCACAGCTACACTTGAATTAGCATCTGAGATGAATTCTTGACTGTGTACCTCATTAGAATTTTAGTTTGTATAAGTTGCCAGTGATTAAGTAACATTAAGTAAGAATGCATTGCTCCTTCCTTGGGCTTTTTTCCAGTGATACGGAGAGCTTTTAAAATGTGGGTTCCTTACAGTGCAATAAGTGCTTTTTGTTGACTTTCTCTAAAATCCTAAAGTCGCAGTATTTGTCATGACATGGCTTGTGGAGATCAGCCAAATACTTGCATCTTTACTTCACAGTGAAATCTAAGTGCTTGCCCCAGCTGTGTTTTCTACAATGAGATAGCTAATCAGTTATCCAAGCTAAAAACAGGCAACAATATATGGAAACTGATGGACTGCACAGTGCTACATCATTTAATGCAGTCACATTTGCATGGCTGCACACAATCATCTCCACCCTGGATAAAAATATATCTATATCTGCCAATGAAGACATAACTGTAGCAAAGATGCTCCCACACCATAGCGCTGATACGTAAGAGTGGCACAGAGGGAGCGCACCAGAAGCAATCAAGTTGGAGCGGACAGAAAGAAGTCTGAACTGACTTGTGTTCATAAGCTGCAAGCAGGTTTAGCCAACTCTATAGGAGCAAGAAGGATCAGACATTTCATGATCGATCAGTGGAAAGCAGATACTTCCCGTTCATTCGTATGAAAAATCTTTGACCAAATTTGTGCAGAAAAATGTTCCAGCCAAGTCTGCAGTCTTTTAGTAGGTCCTTTTTACACATGTCCCTAATCTTAAAAGCATTTTATGGTGTAAGACTGAAAACAGCAAAATTTTCTTCTCCTCCCAGAACCGCATTTTTGTGGGAGAGAAATCTGGGAAAAAATCTGGGAGAAGCTGTTCAACTTTTCCTCCCTTTTAAGTCATAAAGGAGCTCACAGGGCTCCTTCTTAGACATAGCAAGAACCATAACTGACATCTGCTAACCACGATTGCGTCTCATGACTGACTCACTTTTCAACAGATTTGTATTGAACTTGCAGTGTCGACTCCTCCTTTATTACAAACTTCCTACTAAAAGTCTCCAGCACAGGCAGCAACCTCCTGTCCTCCAGCCTGAGCCACCTGTCATTCACTGAGTGCATCTCCCGCTCCACAACCTGCTGTGAATGGGACTTCCCAACACTGTGTCCATTTTCAGCATTGCTCCTTTCCTTGGTAAATACTCTGGGACTTGTTTGCAAATTTTCACCAGTCCCAACAGCTCTGCTCCCCATGTAACATAATAGTTCCTGGCATGGAACTACTTGATACTTACATTGTCTAGTATATATGTAAACAGCATTCTCAGTTAAACTAACTTGATTTAGAAACTGATTCAGTTAATTTAGCGTAATCCACTTTGTATAACACTTACTTCAATTTATGTAGAATCTATTTCGTTTGTTTTTCACTATGTTTCTCACATATATATTTTAATAAGCAGCATGTTCATTTGCAGCAGTGTCTCTGCAGCCTAAGGTCGAAGATAATTTTCTCTCTATCCAAGTTTGGAGTACAGGTTTGGGCATTGCATATTCTCACTGTAAAACAGGTAAGCCGTGCCCTGCTGTTTATCTGCTGTGTCTCTTTGCATATAAACAATATAATTAAATGAGAAGGTCAGGGCCCAGGTATCAAGCCAGAGCAGTGTACTGACTTACTTTACAATCTAGGCATTGCTGAATTACACCACTTTCCTCACCTATAAGATATGTCTGAGAATTGAAAAACATTTGAATTCTATGGATGGATGAAGGCTTTTTAGATGCACAGTACTGCACAACATTTTAGCATAGCATGCACATAAAATGTGAACATGACATGATACTCTTGGGTAGCTAAAATGTCTTGTTTTCACTTCCTTCTGATTTTCAGTAGACAATGCCAACCACCAAAAGAAAATAAAGGCAGGGCAGTTGTCTGATTGCAGCTTTGCTAATTGGTGTTAGTGAAATAAGGTGGATACAGAAAAAATGTACTTACACCAAAATTCTGTATTTCCATGGCAACATTACATGGATATATTTAGCTCTAGTTGTGTCCTGTAACGTAAGATTTACTTGTAGAATAACAGCATTTGGTCTGGCCTCATGAGATGCAGATGGAAGAGAGGCCTTCACAGGATCTCACAGCAAGGTCCATGGAAGAAGACCTTGTAGAAAAAGTCCTCTCCATGCAAGGCAGTTTCATCCAAGCAACTGTCCAACAGCATGGGGAAGAGAAAGTATGCTTTCTAATGTACCTTCTCCTCTGATTTTATTTTTCTTTGAACACCACATCAAGGCAGGTGCTATAAATAGGGACAGTACTGCTTTTGATTTTAAGGAACATATGGCTATTCCACTTAGCAAAGAGAATGAACAAGAAAAAGTAAAATGGAAACACTAAACGTCCCCAGCAGTCTGTATGAAATTTGTGAATTTAAATGCAAAGGAAATAAAATAAGTAGTGAAAAAATATATTTGTGCATCCTATGATCACACTTCCTTTTTCAATTGCTTTGGCCAATGAGATGTAAGTAGGCCAGGTGGGTGAATTGGCTGTGCTTCAGGCACACAGTAGGGTGCTGTGTTATTAGTGTTGAGCATCACAGATAAACTGGGAAAAATGTATTCTAGCAAAATTGAGTATGACAGTCTTATTTCTCTTCCATGAATGTTGAGGACAGACTCAGCAAGACAACAGGTGGGAATAATAGACAGGTCATTTTCTGAAAGCCTTAGTGGTAGAAATAAAGGCAGCCTTCATCTTGGCCTTTATTCCCATGGTACGCAACAGCACCTCATGATCAAACAATTGCTGTGACTCTAATTGTAACTGCAGCAGAAAGTTTTTTTTTCTTTTTTTTTTTTTAAGCGTCTTTCTAATTGCTGCATGAGAGTTCCTTTTGCTCTTTGTTTTATCCCTTAATAATTCAAGTTCCTATCTAACTTGAAAGATTTAATGACAAAAGGACAAATGAAGACTGCTTAAAACTCTGGCCTTTTTCCTTAATTTTACTTATGATATGTATTGCACAGAACTGTAGAAAAGTAGGACTGAAATGAACCTGAATCATCTATTCCTCTCTATGCTCCCAGGCAGTATCAATTACATCTACAATAGTTGTTTGTCCAACTTATGCTTAAAGATCTCTGATACTGGAGACTCCATAATTTCCCCAAGCAATTTATTACAGGGCTGTGCCATCTTGACCATTAGAAAGTACCTCCCTGTTTCTTATTTGTGAATTTTGTTTCTTATCTACTCTACAGGCAGAAAGCAGATTATTCCCATTTTTGCAACAGCCTTTTGAGTACTTGTTAACATGTACACAATCATTCTCCTCTCTAAGACTAAAGGACTCCAGTTTGCTTTGTCTTTTCTCACAGACCATCTTTTCTTCATTCTTATTGCTCTCCTCCAGGCTGTATCAACTTGAATCAATCTGTTGAAAATGCAAAAATATATTCCAGTTGTGGCCTGACAATTTTTACAGGAGGTATTCATAAATCTATTTGCCTTTTTTTGCAACATCTTCCACACCTGTTTGCCTTTTGATCCAGTGTAACCTTCACATCTTTTCTGTCTTGTTCCCACTCCCATGTTTTTACTGTTGACTTTTCAAATTTCTGTACAATTTTGTCCTTGACAGTACAGAAAGGACATTGAATTTTACCAAAGTTATTTTATTTCTAATCTTACCCTCCAACATACTTGCAGTTATTCCCAATTTTATGTTGTTTAAAATTTTCATAAGTATACCTTCTATTCCACTGTCTGAGGTTGTCAACAAAGACAATAAAAAAGCAGAGCAGTGAAGATTTTTCCCAAACCTCCACTCTCGATGTCTTTAGATACACTGATATACATTCTCTCAGTACAGACAACCAGTCTCCATCCAGCTTAAAATCTCATAATCATGACCACATTTCCCTAATCGGTTGTGAGACTGTAAGGTGAGACAAGTACCAAAAGCTTTGCTCACGTCAAGTATATATGATACCTTCTGTTCCTCCCCTACTTACAATGTCTTTTACCCTACTTGAGAAA